TGCCTGTTGAAGGCGACATTTAGTTTGAACAATAAGATTTTTGATTTTCGTCGTTTCTTTCAAAATTCTATTTTTCCATTTGTGACTTTTCATTTTACTGAATCGCTACTAGTAGGGGACCTTTTCGGCGAGCCCAACAACGAATGATAACAGATCAAAGACAAACGAAAGCTACACTGTTACCAATATGCTCACATATTGTCATGGATATTGTGTAAACGTACATGACGTCACATTCTAGAATTAAAGCCACACTAACTGATTCGTGACCTTGCTACTTGAAATGGAGATCGAAAAAATTGACGCTGAGTATATCAGTGCTCTTGCCAAACAAGGCAACTCTCACGGCGATATCAATTGTCTGTTCGCAGCTCAGTTTTCGAAAATTAAGGGAATTTCTGGAAGAAGCGTGCGGTAATTCTGTAATCACTATGGTATACACTTCTCGGGTGTATTTCAACATGGTTTGAAAGGCATGTTACGTTTCAATTACGGAAATGAATCCTGTCTCGTAAAATTTTCTCAGTGGTTTTAAAGTCCGTTCGACGGACAATCATATGGCAGCAAGATGAAGGTATACATTATCCAATAAAAAATGCGTTTACCTACAGATGAGTTTAATAATTAATATGGCAGACCCATCGCATCAGTATGAAGTACATGTTGTGTCCTGTGATATTTCGGATGTGGGAATACAGAAAAATCCCATTGGAGGTATGTAAAGTGGTGTGAATAATATTTTACGTATTAATATCGTAAGAATTGTAGGATGGTGCATATTGGTTTAATAACGTAATAATCCACACGTCACGGTGAAACATCAATCAACTACATGTGTATCCATTCAATATTATTTATAAATGTGTGAATGTAATGTGAACCAAGTGAGTACAAGTGAGTATACTATAACATAACATTATATAACATAATATTATACAACTAAATTATAACAAAACTATATTTAGCATAGATAATTGCACCAGTTTATTGATTTTACATGTCACTATTTAATTTTCATTTTTTTTAAATATTGATGACTTCTGTTACGCCCTTATTAAAAATGCGTATTTTGCATTCGTTTTATGTTTTTTTGATTTCAGTATATATATATATTCACTGAAAATACTACTAGTACACTTACACTTTATGCTTATCCATTTATTGTTATTTCTGTTTAAGTGCTATATCAAAACATGTGTTTAATTGATAAAAATACCAAAAACTGTTCGTGATGTCTACATTGCATCTTTGACCATGGTCTGTTCAGCGGGATTTCTGTATTTTGTGTTTGCTTTCATCTATAGCAGTTATAGATATGAAATGTAAATGTTTTTTTCTCATGGTGTAATAATACTAGAAATGATAGTTTAAATTCAATATGACACTGTTACTACTACATTCCGTAAATAAAAGAGTGAACCATCTTGTAAATATGTGGGAGTGCTACAACTAATATATTAAAACAATTCAGCCTAAAGACGCCCGCGCGTGGAGCAATCTGAACAGGTGTATTTGTTGCTGGGGTCCAAACGCATAAATGTAACGTTGAGGGTGTTTCCTTGCAAAACTGAGGTTCCGATACCTATCAAGCGAAACAAATATACCCCAATTTAAATTTTATTTTAAAATGTTAAAGTTTGCGAGGGTGATTTACTTTTGATTGTTTCTTGTGATCCAGTCCGAGCCCGTAGGCGAGTGAAACCCGTTTGCGACAGCCAGCAATGAAAACAATAGAACAAGGCTTATTTTACCATAACTTTAGGTGAATATACCATAAAATAGATTGTTATGTTATGTATGTTAATTGTTTTCAGCTGTAGCCGTCGGGAACATGGGAAAAACATGCGGTCAATCTAATGGATACTTAAACACATACTTTATATGTATGAACTACATATTTTATTACGATTCCACATAACTTTCACGTAGAGAAATATAATGCATATACAAAAATATTTATCCAGTTATGATCATTACTGAAAATCGTCGTCGTCGTCAATGTACCGATCGATTTCCTTGTCTGTACTGCGGACATGTTGGGTTTCAATGGCTTCCAATTCGCTATGTGGCTTAGGATGATCTGGAATCTGTATTCTGCAAATTGGGAACTTTCCGAAACGCACAAGACATTTCAGACACCTGATGACATTGTTACAGCCACGCTCTGCCTGAAATGCATATATTGTGAATGACAATTCTTCAAAACAAATCATACACATCGTTTACGGTGAAGTGACGACTAGTGGACGAACTCTACAAGAACATATATAGGCATACATGAGACGAAATTTTAGATCCACTTTCACGGTGTTTAGTTCATAACCACGGTTTCGCAGACTTTTAGGGTTCAGGTGTCTTTAGGTCGCACGGTAAATCGGCAAATCTACAAGACGTCCGTACACTGAAACTCCGCAAAACTACACACGGCTTCCCCAATAGTAGGCAAATAGCATGCTGTCAATGTTATATCTGATTACCAGTTAATACACATAACGAGTTAGATTTTACTTTTTAACACAGTAGAGTCGGAGTCCTTTATTTCGTTGTCATCTATACAAAACAAATCGTCTACTTGTCGCCCAGTTTCCATAGCCATGCATTTTTTACATCATTTGGGCGACAGTAGCCGGAGTGAACTTTCACATAAGCCAAATTGTTTGCACAAGACTTGATTGTGCAGTATAACGTCGAACTATATAAACGGGTATACCGTGAAAAAAAACATTTGAAGGTCCGCCTTCCAAAGGTACCGTACCGGAAAACGTACCTGTGATGATCATAGAGAGTGTGTAAATAATAATAACTCATGTTATTGTGTCGATTTACGCACTTGTTCACCCGACAACAGCAATGAATTGTTTATTTCTGGTCACACGACATGTCTATATTTTCAATGTTATAAACAAGCAGACTGGTTAGAGGTACTTAGAGGTAGTTTGATGGCAGTCCCCTTATTATCGTGATGGGTTCGTGACCGATTTTATTGCAAAATCTTTATTAAAACTTTTTCCAATCGATATACGTGTCTTATATTGATGAAAGGATGCACAACACGCCGAAAAAATGAACTCTGACTTTTTTAAAACAGCGAATTCTTATCATCTGGCTGAGAGTTATATATATATATATATGGGGTATTAGCAATGTACGATGCTGTTTACCGAGTAAATATTATTATCTGTGAAGATCGTTGATAAGCGGAGCATACCATTGCGTGAGTAGGTGGTGTAGGCACGAAGAAAAGTCCAATATACGGGACGGGGTAAATAAAAGAGAAACTATATTTTGAATATTAATTTATAAAATAAG